GGAGCCAGGCAGATAAGAAACTCAGGAAGAAACAAACAAAAAAAATCAAATGAGAAGAAATTCTTTAAAAGAAAGAAAGAAAGAAAGAAAGAAAGAAACCCAGATGCACTTCAAACCCAGGCAAGAAACACAAACCACTGAAAGGGTTTTTTAACTGTCAGAGTTGGTATTTGAAACTGCACTTCAAAGGGCTACCACTGTCTGCCCAGCAGAAGCTACCAGTGTTGGTCTTGGGGACCAAAGCAGAATAGAATATGAAATGATGCTGGCCGGCACAAGGACAGCAACAAGAAAAAAAAAACTGGACTCTGGGTTATAGCCAGCACCAAGTTAAACTTCTTAGCATTTCTCTCTGCAGCAGAAATTCCACCCAAGAAACACAAGGCAGGAAACAAGCCAAACAGGGAGCCCAGGACAAATGACCTTAGGATGGGGACATCTTGCACCCAGGAGAAGAGTGTCAAACACATGTTGTCCAGCCACAAACCCTGTCCTTCTCCACAATTAACAGGACACTGTTGGTCAAAAGACAGACAGACATATTCAAAGGCATCTGAACAGACATCCAGGAATGAACAGATTGTCAATGAAAAAAAAATCAACACTGCTAAAGAGATATACCAAAAGCAACAAATAACCAATATTGGAAGATGTGCTATTAAGATGATGAAAAGCTTAAAATGCATATAATCATTATATGCAAAGAAAAATCATTATATCCATAAGTCTTCCATATCCATAAAACAGTAATTATCCATACCAAGTTGGAAATAGCATGAGGCAGGCTCTCTTTCTGAACCTGGACCTTAGCGATTGGATGGGCTGGTCTGGCTAAGCATCTTGTCCCTGGCATCCCGCATCAACACCTCCCCTGGATGGGGATTACAGTCACCACATATACCCATCTTCACATGGGTCCTAGGGTGATCCAAACTCCCATCCTCACACTTGAATGACAAGTACTTTACCCACTGTGCCCTAGCCCCAGAAATACTTTAATTAAAACTATTGTTCTATCTCAATTAATCACCTAATTAATTAGAGAAAGTAGTGACTGCAATAATAAAAGTTGCCACTAGCCATCTTAGCCAAATGAGCATCATTAACAGTACATCAAAGTACATATGCATTTTCCGGTGTGATGAACCGAGGACCCAGTATGGCTTCTGTGACATTCTTGGTGAGGATGTTTACTATACGCTTAGACACAGGGAATCATCAGACAGCTCTGGATAGGAAGAAAGGCATTCTATAAATTAACTCCTGTGGACTCCTCTTGAGTGAAAGTATTCATGAGATAAAAAGCTGAGTGCTGCGTTAAATGAAACAAATGCAGGGAAACACGAGAAGCAAATGCTGTACACAGTCTTTAAATTGGGTTTCTCCACTCAGAAATAAAGCCAAAGAGGACACTATTGGAACAAATAGACAAGTTTGAACACAGACTAGATATTAATAATATTATCTGTATCAAATTTTATTAATTGTATTCAACCAAAGTTTTAGAATTATTATGATCATTTTGGGGGTAACAAAATATAACATCTTTCATCGCCTGGGCACCGGACAGAAATCTCAAGGTCCAAATCAGGAGCAGAAGGAGACGGAGCACGAGCAAGGAACTCAGGACCACGAGGGGTGCACCCACACACTAAGACAATGGGGATGTTCTATTGGGATCTCACCAAGGCCAGCTGGCCTAGGTCTGAAAAAGCATGGGATAAATCCGGACTAGCTGAACATAGCGGACAATGAGGAATACTGAGAATTCAAGAACAATTGCAGTGGGTTTTTGATCCTACTGCACGTACTGGCTTTGTGGGAGCCTAGGCAGTTTGAATGCTCACCTTACGAGACCTGGATAGAGGTGGGCAGTCCTTGGGCTTCCCACAGGTCAGGGAACCCTGATTGCTCTTCGAGCAGATGAGGGGGGGGGACTTGATCGGGGGAGGGGGAGGGAAATGGGAAGCGGTTGTGGGGACGAGGCAGAAATCCTTAATAAATAAATAAATTAAAAAAAAAAGGAGAAACAATCAACAATAAAAAAAAAATTTAAAAAAAAAATATAACATCTTTATTCTTTTTTCTCTATTTTTGGATATTGGGTGTGTGTGTGTTTCATGCATGTGTATACACACGGTGTGACAGTACATGCCTGCATCAGAGGCCAGGGAAGGGTGTTGAGCACCTTCCTGTGTTGCTGTCTGCCTTATTCACGTGACACGGAATCTGAAGCTCGCTGTTTACGGCACTCCCAGGATCTTCCTATCTCTTCTTCCTAGAGCAGGGGTGACAGCCATATGCAGCCATGACTGTGTATGCCCAGATGTGGGGGATTTGTATGCAGGTCTGCATAGGTAGGATACAGCAGAGTCTCTTACCCACTGAGTCATCTTCCATCCATAATATCCTAGATACCAAAGTCCTTAGCACTGTGTGAAGTAAGGCCTGCAACCTATATTTAAATGATTGATCACAAAATATACGTTAAAATTCCCATGTAATTTTAGATACCAACTTATATACGATTTTTCAGAATAAAGGGTGGATCCTAATCAAGTGCCAAGAAAAGTTCACATAAAAAAGAGTTCACAGAAGGACGTATTTAGGAGCCATTTTAGGATTCAAAAGTTGAAAGATTATAGACTAAAACTTTTCAGAGATCCATAAATAGACCACGTACAAAAGCATCTCTGGATATAAATGGGAGATGAGAGAACAATGCCATCCAAGTTCTCAGAGAAGCTTTGTGTGAGCACAGACTTCTGTGCACAGCCAACAGAACGCAGGTGCAAGCATGGCGGAGGGCTGGGAAGGATATGTATTTTGAGGCACACAGGGGCTAAGAACCATTTTCCACAGATCCCCTCTGAAATTTTCAGTCAAAGGTACATCCCGTACATGCCTTCATGTTACCTAGCCTTCAAAGTTTAAAAAGCTGAGGGCTTTCCCCGGGAGTCCCCCTTGGCCCTCTCCCAAATCACCCAGCTCAGGTTCAAATCCCCAGGTGAATTCTGCCCAGGGGTGGGCGGCAAATGGACACCTGCCTTTAGGCCAGGAGGCAAAGGCAAATGACTCTAAGAGGTCATTGCCCTCCGACTGTGAAATGATACAGTGCTAGATTATGTGCTTAATTAATTTCCACCCAGCAGCATGCCATAAGATTAAAAAAACAATTCCTCGGGCAAGCAACAGCCCCGGGGTCCCTGTGCACAAAGTGCACTGCCGAGGACCCAAACTTCCCATTGGGTAACTTGTCTTCATGCTCTGACTGAGTGCTCCAAGTTTCTGCTGGACTTTGAGGAAGGGTGCACAGGAAAGCTCCTGCCTTCCTCCTTCTGTTGCTAACTTCAGGGACAGAAGAGACAAACTGAGATGTCACCAGTTCCTAGGAATACTAGATTTTCCCCATGGCAGCCAGTCTCTTCACATGTTTGAGGGGATTTTTCGTTGCTGTTGTTTTTAAAGGATTGGTAAGACTGAGTCAAAAGGAAGTAAGTGAAACTTCTATATCATCCATTTTCAATGATGGCCAACAATTTAAATTTCTCTAGAATTATATCTACATACTAAAAATAAAATTAAGGAAAAGAGAATAAAACAGAAGAGATACCTTTTCTCCAAACTGCCTAATGTTGGATAGCAGCTTTGCAATTCTTTATATAGTTCCTGCTACTATCTACTGATGGCTCTTGCCTGTAGTCTTAGCGCTCAGCAAACTGAGGTCAGAGGATTGCCGTGAGTTTGAGGCCAGTCTGGGCTACATCCAGGACTATACAACAAGATCTTGTCTAAAGGAGAAGAGAGGGAGGAAGAAGGAAGGGGAAGGGCGATCTGAAGGACAGAGAAGAGGAGAAAAAGCAAGGGGTGGGGGGGAAGAACCAGTCTTTCTTCAATTGCTATTTCGCACATCAAACCTAGTGTTTGGTATTTAGCTGACAATCAAAAAATATTTATAGGGAATGAAGGAGCAAATAAATAAATAACGAAGCTGGAGAAGGTTGAAGCCTGGTTCTCTGACCATTTTCATGGTTCTGTAACTATAAACATCTTCAAAGTAACATAGGGGAGATTGTGATGTAGTATATACCTAGACCAAGGACTGTGGTCCTCTATCCAATCTCATGTCACCTTGTGGTTGACCCAACTTTTTGGAGTTGTTTGGTAGTTTATGTATTTGAGGCCAGGAACAGTAAACACAAGTCTTGTTTGTGCCTTGCTGTGGACAGCTGCTCAGGATGACGAGGCCCCTGGCACAACACCTCAGCTGGTGAGCTGTTAGTGTGTCAACACAGTTTTACTGCATCATAGGTCTGGGTTCCTTTATGTAGACTGCTGTGCTCATGGAGACTGGAAAGCCAAGGAATTGGACAGCTAGTCCATGCTCAGCAGCAGCCTGAGAAAGCCAGTGTCTGGGATCAGAGCGCACAGCAAGGGTCTCCCACACTCCCTGCTAAGCGTCACCTGCTCCTGACCCCGTTACTCATGCCTGACTCTAAGACCAAAAATCCAGCCTGTCTGTGTTCACAGGCTAAATCCTTGCTCCCAAGAAGAGAATCTAAGTCACTCTTGCCAGGTTACAAAGCAACTCTTCATCAAAGGTAGGGCCCTAAATTTTGTTTTGACTTTTAGGTAATGTTGATCCCGACTATCATTCCAGATTGTTGTAAGAGCCTACTATATACACACAAACATACACACAAACATGCATACATAATACACACAAATACGTACACACATACACACAAACATATGTATACAATACACACACTCAAACATGCATACACAATACACACACAAATACATGCACACACACAAACATGCATACACAACACACACGTGCGCGCGCGCGCATGTGCACACTTTATAACTCAGAGAGACATTAGGGTTAACAAGGCACTCCACTCAAAGCATAACCAGTCTTTGCAAAGACATGCTGAGGAGAGAAACTGCATTGCTGATGTCTTACTCCCCTTCCTTATCGAATACCTTTTCCTTAGGAAAGGAAGCTAGTGGAGGAGCGAAGAGTTTGGAGAGCAAAACTGAGGAGAACACTGAACCACCTGCCCTGGAGGACTCCTCCCTGTCCCCTCTAGACGGCCAGCAGCAGTCCTGGCAGGTTTCCACGGACATCGAGAACACTGAAAGGTAAGTGGGCCATACCCCGGACAGAAGCTGGCCCTCCTCCAGTCTGTGATACCCCTGGACAGACACCTACCCTCCTCCAGTCCGTGTCATTCAGGGCCACCAAGAGTACAGGGCTTTCTGTTTCAGGTTCGTGAGAAACAGGGCTTACTATGGTCTGACAGAGCAGCTATGCTAGCAGGAACTTGTTAGTCGGGTTTGCATCTCCGTGACAAAATCACTGAGAAAACAGCTTGAAGGTGAAAGATTTGTCCTGGCTCTTGATTTCAGAGGATATAGCCTAGGGAAAGCTGGATCCCTTACATTTAAACCTGAGACAATACAGGGGAGCCTCTAACAGAAGACACTACTCACCTGTGACAATCTGGAAGCAGAGAGAAAACAGAAGGGGCCCAAGGCAAGTTGCGACCTTCAAAGGCGTACCCCTGGTGGTGCGACCTACTTCCTCCAACTGGGCTCCACCTTCTGATTTGCCCTACCTCCCAATAATGATGTCAAATAATTTATCCACCAACGCACTAACCTGCCAATTAGGTCAGAGCCTTTGTGGTCTAACCACCTCTTAACAGGTCCTCCAGCTGGGGACCAAGCCTTCAACATATAAACCTTTGGGACCATTTTATGCTCAAATCACAGTAAGTGGTCCATACCCTATAGGGAGAGAGTAGCAGGATCTACAGCAGTTTCGGGCTCCTAGATCCTTGCCTACTTCCATCCAGCACAGCACATCTCCGTTGCAAATGGAAACAAACCAGGATTACAGGGCTGCAATCCCAGTACTTGGGAGGTGCTGTCTCAAAAGGAGAAGAGAAAAAGAAAGGAAAATAAACTGCATACTTCTTAGAAGAGAAAAGGACAGACCTATTCATCCAATGACTAGTTCCTAAATCACCCTTCTGTCTGAGGGAAGAGAATCTAAATTAACCAAAGACACTTCTAATAGATTCTTAGATTTGGGATGTTGGGAATGTCCTACTTAGCATTTTGGCCAATTCACAGGTTTTCACAGCCTTCTTTCCTCTCCTGGAATACACCTGATGGTGTGATATCACTTAGCTGCCAGAAGGAGCTAAGGCATTGACCTACACGGTTTATCATTAGAGAGAAGCTTTCTCCAGGAAGGAAAAATTCTAAGGTGATCCTTTTTATTGAGGAAGCAATGATAAAAGAATGAGAACCCATCCCGTCAACACGTTGAAAATGCTGTTCTGTGAAGCAAAAAGACGAGGTCCTTGTGTAGCCTTCCCACGAATGCCTTTGCCCTTTGCTATGAATGTTCCCAGAGCTGGTACAAAGAGACTGAATGAACTTGGGGGAATTCTACTCTGTGTTCCTCTGAGTGTATGACTCACTGAAAAGATAATGAACATTTTATTTTTTTTATTTTTAGAAATGGAACACACAATGGCATTTATAGCCATTGTGGTTCTACTTTCAGGTTGTAATATAATTCTAAAGCTAATTACCAAATTTCTGTGTTTATAGGAAATTGGAGCATGTGGTAATTGTGTGCTATTAATATAACTTGTATGTACTTCAATATCTGAGCATCCATACAATAAAACTTGTTTGTCTCAATTTCATAGATGCGTGAACAGATGATGAAAGGATCATGTATCTTAATTTGTAGGAATAAATTATTTTATAGAAATAAATAGAAAATTATTTGGTCTGTTCCCAGAGAAAGAAAACACATCGGTCAGAATGTTATGGCCAGGGCAGAAGCCATCTGCAAAGCCTTTCCTTTTCATACACCTCAAATAGCAGTTAGATCCACACCTCACGCTTTAAGAAACTGCCAGGCATGGTGGCACACGCTTTTAGTCCCAGTACTCCAGAGGCAGAGGCAGGTGGATCTCTGTGAACTGTGAGCTTGAGGCCAGCCTGGCCTACGGAGCAAGTTCCAGGATAGCCAGGGCTATATAGAAAAACCCTGTCTTGAAAAAAAAAAGGAAAAAAGAGAAGGAAGGAAGGAATGATGAGTGTCAGTAAGTATCGAGTAGGATAGCATCAAGTGTTTGCTGTTGGCTGGAACATAAGTCCAGGTTTTGGTCAAGAGAGGCAAGTCTGAGAGACGCAGGTAGTAAGAAACCCAGGCAGGGATGAGCTTCTTTAATGTTCCCTTTCTCTCTGCCCAGTGCTTGGTGGGCTGGCATTTAACCCACCAGAAGAGCTCTTTAAAAGTCCTTGGCGACTGCCCACTCTGGAAGTCAACCCAATCAATCTCTTCGTGGGTGCAGGGGAGGCACAGGGATTATCCAGTGAAAGGGGATGATGAAACTTTGTCCTCGTGGTGCGTCCTCATGGTGTATGCTCATGCTTCCCCTCCCATTGAACATGTCTTGAGATCTCCCATGGAAGTGCTTCTGAGGGTGGCCCAGCATCCCTGTGCCTCCTCTTCCTTCTGCTTCGTCTGCACGCTGTGCCCGTGACACTCCATCAGCCCCACAGCCTTGGATACCACTCTAAATGTTCCCAGGATCTTTCTATCCATGCACCAGGCTGCTCTCTTTTCCTTCTCTAGTCAGCACTGCCTGAGACTTGGACTCCCTTCAGATTTTGCTTGTTTGGTTTTTAATTTATTTACTTATTTCTTTTATAACCCAACCACAGTTTCCCCTCCCTCCCCTCTTATATTCCCTCCCCCACCTCCCTTCTGCACTGCCCCCAATGCACTTCTCCTCTGTTTCTGTTCAACAAAGTAAGTGTTAACTTTTGATCCTTCTGCCCCTGTCCCATGCGTAAGTATGGGTTTGTGCAACCAACTTTAGCTCAACTTTAGAATTCCCTTCCCCCGCAACATTTTTAAAGAAATGTGTTTACCTATCTATTTATTTCTTTATGTGCATTTAGGTGTGCGAGCATGTTTGTGTGCATGCTACACTATACATGTGAGGTCAGGAAGACAAGTCTGTGAGTGTGTGTGTGTGTGTGTGTGTGTGCGTGTATGCTACACTGCACATGTGCAGGCCAAAGGACAGGTTACAGGAATCAGTTTCTTCTTCTAACATATGGATCCTGGGAATTGACTTCAATGGTCCCTGATGGCCTCTCTCTTCCAATATCTCTACTATGAAGAGGTCTTCTCTGGAGGTCTCAAAATGTATCCCTTGTCAAGCCTGGTGGTATAAGCCCATCCCAGCACTCCGGAGGCTGAAGCAGGAGAGCCAGAAATTCAAGGCCCTCCTCAAAGAAACAAGGGCTGTGTATGTAGTTCACTGATAGAGAGACTCCCTGGCATTCACAAAGCCCCCCGAAGGGGGGTGATGCCCAGTGCCACACAACAATAACAACAACAATAGTAAGGATAGTAATAATAATGTGTTGCTCTGCTGACATTCTGCTCAGTTCATGGCAAGGAGAGACTTAAAACAAGCAGACAACAAGGAATCCACACAGAAGCCCAGCCATCTGGCCCTAAGTCTCAGTGATGCGTCCCAAGCCTGACTTCCCCAGGGGCCCACTGTTCCAATTGTGTGTCCTTGGCCTCTCTCTGTAGATCCATAGTCCTGTCCTCCATCGAAAGGCTCTCCACTGAATTCAGCCAGGTCAGACCAAAGGCAGTGCGGCTGAGGGCTGGAGCAGAATCCCTCCCGAGGAAAACATTTGGCAAGAAACTGCCTTGCTTCCAGAACCCACTCCTCTCAGATTTTCTTTCTTGTAAAAGCAAAGTAAATTGAATTTGTGTCAATGAGAAGCTGGAACTGGTATGATTCCATGTAGAGTCCCAGCCTGCATTCATGCAGGAGCACACACTGCTCGAGGCTTCATCTGGGAAATGCACAGCTAATTTTTTTTTCTGTCTTTTTATCACCTTTACAGAGACATGCGGGAAATGAAAAACCTCCTCAGCAAACTCAGGGAAACCATGCCTTTACCGCTGAAAAATCAAGGTGAGTCCTCGGACGTTTCTTTGAGCCAGCGATTGTCTTTAGCACGTTGAACTTGGAACCTGCTTCTTAGCAAGGTAATGCAAGTGCTTCCCACCAAGAGAGGAAGGCCTTGAACATTTCTCTTCCTTAGAGACCACGTGATGAGGTGACAGTCTCGGTGACAGAAGTAGAGAGATACTCTCACCTGAAATAGGATGCCCACGTCCCTGCCAGACCTGTCTTGCGCCATGGAAAGCACCACCACACTGGGTGTGCCTCCACGATAGGACCAAGAACATGTCTCTTGCCTGCACAAAGCTGATAGACTAGTGGAGAAATATCCCTTCATTTACATGTTCAATTATATAGAAATAATAATCGAAAGGATTAATATATATTAGGATACACAATGTGCCACTATCCTGTGTACTTCATTGACTTCTGCTATTTTGTCTTTCGTAATTATTTTCTTCCATATTAGGGGTCAAAGCAAGGGCCTTGCATGCTAGGCAAGTCGTCTACCATGAGCTAGATAACCAGTCCCCTATTTAAATCTAATAATAATTGGGGGGGGGTCTGTTATAGTTTTCCTAATCTACAGGGAACTAGGCCATGGGGATTAGTCAGTTTTTTCAGCGTCATCTAAATTATAGTAGAACAACTGGGTTGCGGATTTGATCTCAGGAAGTACATCTCCAGAGCTACGCAAGAGAATACAGCCTGACACAGACGCAGAAAGGGGTTCTCACCAGAATGAGGCATGGTCCTGACTGTGGTAACTGATGGATCCACTGTCCTTGGAGTCTGGCACACAGTTAGGAATACCACCTAATACAAACAAAAAAAAATGTTTGTTAAATCTTCACCCAGCTTTACAGGATTCTAGGACTGGAGATGCACACAGAAGTAAATAATAATGGTCTACAGAGCTAGTTCCAGCACAGGCTCCAAAGCCACAGAGAAACCTCGTCTCGGAAAGAAAAAAAAAACAAAAGTAAATACTATGAGCTTTGCATGAAGCATCCTTAGCCAGAACAGCCACAAGTGAAACATGAGCATCAGAAAGTGGTACCAAGAGAACCGGGAAAGGCTCTTTAGAGGCAAGAAAGAAACTCCTCCTGTTTACCCCGAACAAAGCCTGATCAGGAGGGAGGACAGTGCACTGTTTGCTGGGAGCAAGTGAAGCTGAGTGAAGAGGAGGGGAGGAGGAGGACTTGGCAGCAGGGCTGAAGAGCCTCTTGGCTCAGAGAGCATCTCAGCAGAAGGTGGAGAGGTGGAGATGGGAGAGCGTACCAGACAAGCGACTGAGAAGCAGCTTAGGCGGCACTAGTGGCTCTGGAGGCCTGGGTCAGAAGAGGGGGCAGGTCATTCCAAGTGAGCCCCAAGAGCCAGTTCATGAAGCCAAGCACTCCCCACCCCCACCCTCAGAGCCAGTCAGTGTGCCTCAGAGTACTGAAGACAGCAGGTGTGCAGGAACAGAATTTCACACAAAGCTGCTGAGAAGTGAGGATGGGTTTCGGCTGAAGGGCTTCAATGAAAGCTGGTCTTGAGTTCAGATTCTGGCTCTGTCGTTGTCCAACCGTGTGGCCTAGAGCAAGCTGTTTGCCATCTGGAAATTTCAGAGTTCTTGTCCCTGGTTGGGGGAAGCCTTCAGATGGTGGCTTGAGGATTAAAGAGGTGGCAGACCGCCTGCCTATAGTCAATCTTTCTCGAGCAGTCAAAGTGCAGGGACACTTCGTTGTTGTCGTGTTTGCGGAAACCGTTCTCATCATTTACCAGCTGGGCCACCAGACTTGCTCAGAACTCCAAGCCAGCAGCAAGTAGAACTCAGCCTGCAAGCACCAGGGGTCATGTCCACATCAAATCCGTCTTGAGCTCCAGGCCAGAGAGCAAGCCTCTGGGACTTCACATTTGTAGCCCGTTAGGATCAATAAGTTTGGCAATCTCCCCTGTGGCCTCTACCCTGGCCTCTTACTAAACCACACATGCAGCTTCCCAGCAGGGTAACTTCCCACGGTGCCCGGTCTGAATGTTGTGAATTCCGTGAAGTCTATATTTTAAGTGAACCCATCTTAAGCCTTCCTTCCACAACTGGCGCTAGTCCACACAGCCATTTCGGAACTGTGTGTTGACAGAAAGACTGAAACTTCATTTTTATTAGGTAAATTTTAAAATCATAGGAGGTAGAATATAAATAAATACTTTTATATTCTCTGAAGAGAAAAATTATTGAACTTTTAAATGTGTTTGTAAAATAAAAGAGCAACAGCAGTAAGTGTTGGTACTGCTGTTGAAAGCATAAAAGGGAATAATGGCCCAAGTAAATAATACCAGGCCTTAAACCGTGAATTCAACTGGAAAATGAAAATACGAGGATTTATGCAGGAAGTGGTTCATATTCTAACAATAAAAAGAATAGCCGAGGCAAAGGGCTTTTGGGAATCCAGGCATCGCCTTCTGTAGAGAAATGTAAACACTTAGCAAGTTGGCCCCATTCACAGCGTGCTGTCAGTGGGCAGAGGGGTGTGAGAATCGGAGGAAGAGGCCAGACAGGCCCTGGGGCGGGGAGGGGGGGATAACCAGTCTCTCGAGACATTTTCTGACAGGCACATATGGTAATGCCACCTTTCAGAACTCATCCAGATTCTTCCCTCTGACTCCATAGACTGGGATGACCACAGGGGCTCCCCATACTGGCCACCTGTGGGTCTGGCAGGTCTTAGCTAAGGTGTGCAGGAATGGGGTGACGTGGGGGGACATTCCAGTTCTTTCGCGTACAACCTTGCTCTCCAAAGCTGGTTCTAACTGGTTGGAAACCATTATAGCGAGCCATCTGTCTCTTTTCTGGCTTATTTCCTTTCTGTTTTTATTCCATTTGCATGTGTGTTGGAAACAGAAAAGGGGGGGGGGGTGTCACTCACGGCCCTGGCTTTCTGTGCTCCGACTGCTGGTCATGCGAACCCCTGCAGCTCAGACTCTAGTTCTCCACTTAGATGTGGTCCTGAGTTCATTTCAAGACTTGGTTACATCTCCCCAACTCCCTGCTCAACAAATGCTCGCTTGAAGTTGGTTTTCAGTGGGAAAGAAAGGGAGAGCGACCAAGGGCAGGGCTGTCAATCATCCCTGAGGCAGCTTCATCTCATACCTTGCCTTCTCTGTCGGTGTCCTTCTAGCTTGAGCTTGGAGACACAAGTACCCAGAAGGAGAGTGGGCCACCCTTGCTCTGTGGCACCCCCAGGGCCGGCTGCAGTCAATGTCCATGTCTCCTGGCTCTAGACCTGCTGTTCCTTTCCCTGCTCTAGTGCCCCTCCTGTCCTCTATTCTGGCTCATTGGCACGGCTGCAGGGAGCTTCATTAATTATGATCAGCTTGCTGTGTCAAATGGATTACAAATGGAACCACCTGTGGGGAACCCGCAAGGTTACTGACAAAGGCTCTAAGGAGACTGGGAAGTGAAGGGCAAACCTCTTCGAAACGCCTGCTGTTATAAAACAGATCAGCCGAAATAGATTAAACCTGAAAGACAGTTTCACCTTTGCTACAGCTCTGACTTAATGAGGTCGGGCTGTGGGATGTGTTGGTAACTTTACTCATGCGTGGAACTCAGTTGTTGACAGCATGCACTAGAATCCATAGGAACTGAATCTGCTCTGGAACGGGATTCGGTCAGTCAGGAGGGGAGTATTTCAGAAGAGACATGCCTCAGATTTTATGTAATGTCAGAGGACTAAGCAGGAAGATTGGAGAGGTCAGATATGACTCATAAGGAAGAAAGCAGAGTCAAGGATGAGTCTGAGTTCAGTCCTGGAGAGCCGAGTGAACGATGGCATTGGTCATTAAGTGGAGAGAAGGAAGCCAGAGCCCTCAAGGCAGAACATGACCACAGTTTTGGACATGGAGGGAACGGTAATGTTCAAGGGTTAGTAGTGTTGAGGGAAGACTTGATCCAGGAAAACTGGCAACAGATTTGAGGATTTCCAGAACAGTGGTCCTTGGAGCCCTACAGACAGCTACAGCTGTCAACGAGAAATTGGCCAGAAGACTGTTCTGGGGTTCAAAAATGTAAGTCTTGAAGAGAGGAAGAGCAGTTCACACAGGGATCCTAAGAGGAGAATCAAATGAACATTGCAAAATGAATGGAAGAAATTTGCAAGGAAGGAAGGGCTAATGATGCAGGGTGATTGGGCTGGATAAAACCTGCCGAATCTGAAGGATTTGGCATAAAGGTAGTCACTGGTAGTGCTGGTAAAAGCAGTTAACTTGGAATTTGAGACAGGGAAGCCTGGTTGAGGAGATATCCAAAGAGAGGGGGCTATAGAGCTGGGACAGCAAGGATGAATAGATGAAGATTTTCATAAACAGTTGTTTTTAGCATAGTAAGAAGATGGGATTCGAGGCAGCTAATCTACCCAGGCAATAGTTTATAGAAGTGATGGGAACAGGAAGGAAGGCATGGGGCAATCAGAAAATGCAAATAAGTAAGCAGCTAAAGCTAATCTCAAAGGGGGGATTACCCATCAACCAAAGAGGAAAGGATGTGGGGGAAGGGAAGCATATGTAAAGATGGAGAAGTAGGAGTCCATGGGCCTAAGTAGGTCATTTTAAGTAGGTTTTGTTTGTACTATCCCCTCCTTCATAAAACTTTCAGTCCACTCTGACTAGACTGTTTATTTGAACCTGAACGAGGCTGCCATGGTACCTCAGTATCTGTGTTTATACTACGTCCTTCATTCAGAATGCCTACCCCATTGAACAAATACTCAAGTTCTTCTCATTCCTTGTGGCCAAGAATGGTTGCCAAGGCCTACATGGATCTTCCACAAAAGGTGCTCAAAATGGAAATAACACCTTTGCCCCCTCTTCTTGGAAATTCTCATAACACTGTATTTGGGTCTTTCTCATGCACAGTGAGAAACAAAGCCAGGATCCATGTTTCTTTTAAATCCCATCTTGGTGTTATCCTCACTGCTTATCACAGGGTGTTTTAGTTACTGAACTCATTGTTGTACTAAAAACACCTG